AAGATATTATTTCTAAAATTAATACAGACCTAAGAAATATATTACAATTAAATTAATGGAAAAATACTTGAAATGTTATCAATTGTGGTTAAATTCCATAAAAGATAAACACCTTTATAAGTTTTTAATTTTTGATATTATTGACTTCTACCCTTCTATCGATGAAACACTTCTAAAATAACTTTATCAATTTAGCAGAACAACACCTAAGATTAAATAAAGAGAACATATAATTAATTTTTTCATGCAAGAAAGTCTTGGCTTTTTAATAATGATCAGGTTTGGATAAAACAATCAAATGGTTTATTTGATGCTTCCATGGGAAAGTTCGACGGTGCAGAGGTTTGTGAGCTGGTACGAATATTTCTTCTTTATCATATTTTAAAATTTTATAACAAATTATATATATATATATATATATATATATATATATATATATATATATATATATATATATATATATATATATATATATATATATATATATATATATATATATATATATATATATATATATATATATATATATATATATAAGAAAATCCCTTTGTTCTCAAGACATTTTTTTCGATTAGATATAGCAGCTGCACAAGAAAGTGAAAACCATGGAGTAGAATGAGGCTTGACTTGAAACTGACAAAAAGAAATAAAAGCTTCTATACCTGTCTGTATCCAGGAGGTTACATAGGAGACACATTTATCAGAGGAGAGACCAAAGACATCAGCCGAAAATCATTTCAAGACTTTCAGCCAGCTTCAGGGTAGAAGTAAGTAGTGAGATGATAGGGTCCAAATAAGATGTGTGAGGTAAAAGATTATATAGAGATTACTGCATGGTCAGAACCACCTAAAAGAAAACAAGGAGAAACTAAACACAAGCTAGGGTCAGCGACAAGACACAAATCAAAGAGTAAAAGTAAGTGATTGTCTGGAAAACAAGTCACAAAGTTAACGATCTAAGTAAGAATGGGAAATACAGAAGCTATGAGCTTCAGTGCCGGCATAATAAGTGGTGCCAACCCATTCAATGAGCATGAGTACTCACCAATAATAACAATATTGGCTGAAGGATAAAGATTTGGTTAATTTGGTCAGAAATAACACCTAAAAGAATCAAGTCTTAAAAAAAATGGATATAAAAAAAATGTTAAAGAATATCGAAAATTGAGTGATTAAAAAAGTTATTGAATACAGAGATGCCAAAGGTGATTGAGTGAAGAGATACTAAAAGCATAAAAATGAATCAACAGAAGATTCCAATCTGGTTTCTCAACAAATAAGTATGCATAAGTATATGCCCAAGCCATGCACATGACTATTGGAATGCGAATCAAAGAATAATAGCCATCAACACTTTGATTTAAAAATGAAACAGTTAAGATAAATTAGACAAAGAGCAAGTAAGGCAGGTGACTTTTGCAATGTTTGCAATGAATTTATCCAGGTAATATTTAACTTATGGAAAGCTACCTTGAAGACCACATATATTTGTAAAAGATATATTGGAACAGTTAGGTGGTGATAATGACTTTTTATGTTTAATCTTTTTGGCTACTTTGGTCATGACTTAAGTTAATGAGAAATTGACACAACTATAGATAAACCACAACACCCCAAGCAATTAGCTATGCAGTGACCTCAGTCCTGCTAATTAACCAAAAGTTGCGCTTGCCCCAAGGCAGGGAAATTTTAAGTCAGAGTTTATTTCTCCTAGCCTTTGCATAGGTTACATGTTACCAAGGTGATTGTGATGAACTTGAAGCTGACCTGACCTTGAGTAGTTAAAAGAACTTACTTCTGTAAGCTTTAAAACATTAAACAGGAAATTTTTTTGTATAATTATTAAAAAAACTACTTTAATAAATTAGCTTTTTTTAATAAATTTACAAGCAACCTCATTTAATTAGGAAGTAACAGAAAACAAAAAGAAAAATATGTTAAATATCAGGAAAATGGTTGTCAAAAAACTTAAAGGAAAAGTGAAGACTAAATGAGTTAGGATAACATGAAAACACAAGAAAATTCTAAAGCACCAATGTTCAGTCAAAAAAAAAGTAGTAAAGTTTTTTGAGCAAAAACAAACAGTTAGAGTAAAAAGATGCGTGTTTGCTGAACAATAAATCACAGATGCAACCTTACAACAAATACACAGAGGCTTAAGCTTGGCAGCTAAAGAAGGTATAACTATATTTAAAAAATATTTTCATATCTTGTTTAAAAGAGATCATTATAAGAATCAGTCTAAATATGACATACAAGGACAAACCAGAGATTTAAAAAGGTAAAACAATGTAAAATTTGATGGTATAAGAAGTAAGAAAATGGCAAACATAATAAAGAAAAGAAACCTTAGGGCAAGATAATATTGTAACAGATTGGATATAGTAGAGGACACAGTAAGAGTTTTAACTCATCAATACAAGGATATTAACAATTTTGCAACAAACTTGCAATTATTAGTACCTTGTTTCTGACTTATTTCCTTGCATTCAGTTTTCCATTTCTCCTAAGGTTAGGTTTGTTCAGACCATGTTCTGGTTTATCTAAATCTTGTATCCTGTACTTCTTAATCAGACTCACCCTATCATCACTCCATTTACTACTAACATAAAGTTGATTCTTTTTATGATTGGGGACCGATTTCATGACTTCACATTCTTGTACAACTGCTATTTTTAATTTTTTTTTTCATCTTTTATACAATATAAAACTTTTTTTTATTATTGCAAGAAATTAATGTAAAAAGGTCTGACATTAGGTTTTTTTTCTTTTTTGCTCCCTTCATGTTGTTTTCATGATTTATATAGTTTGCAGTCTTTAGGTCATCTGTTTATCATTATCATGCTTTATCAAACTTCATCTAATAACTTCCATCTATAAAATAGTGGTTGCTTGCAGGAAAAGAAGATGTTTAAAAAAAAAAGTTTTTTTTTATTTTTTTTGAGATTGGGGGGGGGGGGGTGTTGAACATCCCCTAGACTCTTCCTTCGAGATGGCTCCTTTTTAGAACTGATATCTGGTTATATGTTTGAATAATGTTTTTTGTTATTATAGGTTTTTTGATTAAAAAAATTGTGGTTTTGTAGTAGTACTTTACAATTAGAAAATAAAAAACTTGAATTTAATCATGATTTTTATTAAAATCATTTTGTTACTAAGTTTATGATAAGATTTAAAATAATGATTTTTTTTATGAAATTAATTAATTTTATGAAATTAATTAATTTTATGAAATTAATTCATTTTATGAAATTAATTCATTTTATGAAATTAATTCATTTTATGAAATTAATTCATTTTATGAAATTAATTCATTTTATGAAATTAATTCATTTTATGAAATTAATTCATTTTATGAAATTAATTCATTTTATGAAATTAATTCATTTTATGAAATTAATTAATTTTATGAAATTAATTAACTTTATGAAATTAATTAATTTCATAAAAAAAATTAATTTGATATTGTAGTTCTGATTTGAAATCATCTGTACAACATAAATTCATTATTCTGACTTGAAATTTTTTTAAATTTTTGATTTTAAAATTTTGGTATTCATACTCAATAATACTTTACTATTACTCAATTATTTTTAGATTTTTTTGAATTTAATTAAATTTCTTTTGAATTTCTTAAATTTCGTCTTTAAAAGACAACTATAGCAATCAAGAAACGGAGAAACGAGTTGAGCGCGGTACTACCAGGAACGTGGTGGGGATCGAACTCGGAACCACTCGTTTATGAAGCGAGCGCTCTACCACTACACCACTACCGCATATTATTAATCGATTTATAAATTATGTTTTTGTTGTATATAAATAGTACAATAACTAATACAAAGTAAACACCTAAAAAAACAATAAAATAATAATGATGATAATAATAAAATATCTTACAATAAATTAAAAATAATTTCCTTGTTAATAATAATAACAATAGAATAAAGTAAATTGTGATAATAATATTAAAAGTTATAATAGCAATATTAATAACAATGGAGATAAAAGAAAACATATTTAAACAAAAAAGCAAAAAAATTAAAATAATCTCTTGAGCGTAATGACCAAACTTTTCTGGTCCAAAAAAACAGTTTAATCCTTTATTAGACATACAAATAACTCTCCAAATCATTTCAGCTCCCATTGCTATTTCTCTCTTAAACTGCTTGTTGTCAAGACAAAATTTCTACCATACTTTTACAAAAGTGCTCTCCAGAACACTTTTGTAAAAGTAAATCATCCAGAACTATCATCTTTAACTATTTAATAATTAATGCGGTAGTGGTGTAGTGGTAAAATGCTCTGAGTTCGATCCCTACCACGTTGCTGGTAGTACAGCGTTCAACTTGTTTCTCCGCGCAGCTGCCTTGTTTGTCAGGGTTCGTGTTTCGGAGTTATAGAGTTGAGAGAGAGTTATAACCACTATTAAGTAGCATCCTCATCTGTAGTGGCCTTGTCGGCCTTGAGGAGGTGAATAACAAAAACAAAACAAAAAAAGTGCTAAACTTGTTTCCTGCTAAAAAATAACATCTGTAAATTACCTCCAAATATAATGTAATATATATAATGTAATAAATATAATGTTTTTATATAATAGATAATACAATTTTAATTATACTCTAACAAACGATTTTTTTGTCATTTTTTTTTATAATTTAAAAAATGATAACCTTTTTGAAAAAAAACATTAAATTTACTTGATAAAAAACTAATTATTTTTTAGGATGTAGCTTATTTTTATACTCACAATGTTTTCACTAAAAAAAGTTTAATCTAAACATCTCATGTAAAAATAAAATACCCTATCAAAACAACTATGTAAAAATAAAATACCCTGCCTAAACATCTCATGTAAAAAAAAAAAAAAAACTTGCCAAAATATCTCATGTAAAAATAAAATACCCTGTCAAAACAACTATGTAAAAATAAAATACCCTGCCAGAACATCTCATGTAAAAATAAAATACCCTTCCAAAACAGCTCATGTAAAAATAAAATACCCTGCCAAAACAGCAAGTTTTCCACTTTTGTTCACACCCATACAACTTGCCTAAATAAATAAAAAAATTTCAGGTTCAAATTTTGTAAAAGAATAGAGTAAAATGAAACAGTTAAGAGTTTTTTTGTTTTCTTTTTTTACAGAAAAATTATTTTCATACTTTTATTGTTGTAGTAGGGTGTGTACATTTTGTACATTTTGTAGTAGGGTGTGTACATTTTGTACATTTTGTTGTAGTAGGCTACAACAAAATGTACTTTTTCAAATTAAGAAAAAAATAAGAAATAAAAAAATTACTTATTTCTGAAAAAAAGTGATATTTTCAAATTAAATTATTTCAGTTTAAAGTTGGTAAATTTTGATTTTAAATGCATTTACTTTAGTTATTAACACTAATCTGTAGGCATTCATTTTTTCTTTGAAAAATCATTTATATCAAACATATTGGTCAAAATCAGGCCTAAAGGAAAGTTCTAGTAAACAGTTTTCTAGTAGTTGTTTATTTAAAATGTCAAAAAAAAAGAATGGAACATCATGGAGAGAACTTTATATATATATATATATATATATATATATATATATATATATATATATATATATATATATATATATATATATATATATATATATATATATATATATATATATATATATATATATATATATATATATATATATATATATTAGGGTGTCCCACTTTCAACCTGACCAAAAAATTTTTGAATGCACCCTTTCTCAATCATCTTTATTTGGTCCCAGAACACACCAAAAAAATTTTAGGTCTCTAAGTCAAGGGGTTCCAGTATAAGGTATTTTCATATGTGAGGTTGCATTGAACTTTTTGCCCTCTTACTTTTTTTAGTGTCCCTGTTTTATAATTGAACAGTAGAAAATTGTCCATTTTTCAGTTATTTTTGTTCTGAAAAAAAAAATCTTTCATTTAACAGTTGATATTAATACACTGTAGGAATCAAAGTTATCCTTTATCCATGTGTTTATTAGTTATACCTAGGTAAGTGAAAAACAGCCAGGACTCCTTAGTGATAAAGTCAGACAAAACTGACATAAGAACAACATATGTTGGAGGGTGAAGTTGTTCGCTTTCAAAATCATCAGGCTGTAGAACAATTGAAACCTGGCAGCTTCTTAGCTAGTCCAGATCTTTCCTTCAGTTCTAAATGTCGATTTGCTATTGAAAGAATAACTAACAGTGGGGTCAGGTACCAAATGTGACGGACCAAACTTGCATGGAGCAGTTTTTCCAGAGGACCATACTTGGATATATATAGCTTATTGCTCATTATTTCAAAAGCTAGCTTAAAAGCATCCAAATCATGTAATGGAGCCTGGGCCGCCAGAGGAGACTTTAAAAAGTATGCTCCATAAAATGTGACAATAAAGTCAGTTGACAGTTCGAGCATATCCTTCTCACTTTTATTCAACTTTAAATTAATCTTAGAAGTCAGCTGCATTGTAAGCAAATATAGACAATCAGCCTTGAACCTTGCTTGATGGTAGGTACCTGGTTGTTTGAATTGGAAATCAGGAACATGGCCACCAAGGTAAATGATTATTTGCTCACAAAGAACTTTATAATCTCCCCTTTGAAAGCAATCTTGTTTTAGGGTTGTTATGCAGAAGTTCTTAGTATCTAATACCCTACTATGTAAATCAGTATCTACCATATACACCTCTCTTCCATAATTGAAAAAAAGCAACTGATCAACATTATTTGCCCTTTCTCTTATTTCGGGCCAGATTTTTTGAAAATCTTTATATATTGCACGTGATGAAGATTTTGTTGAACCTTGAATATAATCCATTGTATGGGAAACATGCCTTTCAGATATATGATGCTTTAAAAGATAAATTTGGAAAAGATACAAAATGTATAAATGTTGCAACAGTTTTGTGCAACAAACTTTATTTTTTTATCGAAATATTTAATTACCTACATAGCAGCCATAGCACAGGTCTTTGTTCGAGCTGAAACTTCCTGTTTCAGCTCGAACACTGATCTTGTACTTAGACAAGAATGGAACCCACTTGTCAAGAACATTATTAATTGAAAGATCCATGTAAACTCTATCTTCACTGATTTTTTTTTGGCATGCCTCAAATTCGCTGTCGGTATCAGTGGCAATCGTACCACTTGAAGATAATCTCAAAATCTTTTATTCTTTCTATATCCTCAATAGTTTTTTTATTTGACATTTCTTGTTTTTCTTTTTTATGCTGTTCTTCTCTACACATACTTTCTATCATACCTAACATTCGCTTTTCCCCGTCTATAATTTTTTCTTGATAAGATATATCTTTCCCAGTCTCAAACTCATTTCACCTTTGAATACTCTCTTCAGGAACTCAATATCTTCTGACTTTGCTTGCTTGTCTCTATTTTTGTCATCTCTTATAAGTTTTAAGATGTCTGTTTTATAAAAAGTAAAAGTAAAGTTTGCTTCTTTTATAAAACTCTGTTTTTTTTTTTTATTATTGCTCTTCTTTAATCTTGTTTATTTTCATAAGGGTTCTAAGACTACGCAGTTTCTTGTAGCATTCATAAGATTTAACACAAAATCTTGAATCAAACCCACCCTTGTCTCAAAGACTTAACAGCTCTCTCAGAATGCATACTCCTGTAAATTCTCCCCTGTTACTTTTCTCACATCCCCCTCCAATGCAAAGGATAGATCTTGACATTGTCTTTTGTGCACAGGATAGTTTTGTATTTTGATTAATCTTACTTGACCTGAGCCAATATATTTGATGACAAACTTCTCCCAGTGAGGGTAAACTAAGCAAAATTCAAAAGGAAAAAAAAAGCCTTTACATATTTTTTTCACAAGTATTTTACCTAGAAAAAGCTTTTTTAATTTATTATTTTAATTAAATTTTAAAATAATACCTGTTTGGTGCAAACATATGTAGTGGATGCTGAAGTATGTATATTGTTCTTTTACACCCATTAGATTTCTGTGGAGCTTAAGTTATGTTGCAGGATGTACCTAAGGTTCCTGGTTGACAATCCCTGCTAGTCCTGGGAGAGGTATATTTGATTGGAGGAGTACTTCTGAAATGTGTATTTATCAAGCAGTTCTTCTCATTTCTTTTTCTTGCAGTACTCCGACCATTTCTAGTCTGTGGATATTTACGAGGAAACCCATCTTCATCGGCCATTATATATTTAAAAAAAAATTTCATATGTGTAAAGTATAGTTAAAGATCAGTCAATGTTTTACATAAAAGCATTACTTGATTAGACCATTAATGCCGCTAAAACAATATAAAAGTATTGCAAAAACAACATACTTAAATGAATCAAGACATATTACTTTATTCATCTAAGACATAATATTTCAATTTTTGTATAAAAACCTCATTTTATGTCTTAAACAAGTTCAGTTTAAATTTTTTTATTTTTTATAATTTTTTTATAAATTTTTTGATCAAAGTGTCTCTTACTTCTTTAAATTAAATAAAATAATGATGTATAAAATAATGATTCCTACAGACATTTTTAACATCAAATGGAGAATCTAGCAGTAGTAAATAACAGGGCTGAGCGCCACATCAAACTTGTGCAGGATTTTGTGGCTGAAAGTCATGACGAAGATCTTTTACAGGATACCAAGATGTGCAAAAAAAACAAAATGAGGTTGAGAAAAATGAGAAAAGACATGATTTTATGTAATTTTTTACATAAAATTTACATTAAACAGTCTATTTGTCTTTAAATGACCGATGTGTATTAATATTAAGTGTTAAATGAAAGATTCTTTTTTTTTCAGAACAAAAATAACTGAAAAATGGACAATTTTCTACTGTTCAATCATCAAAATCATTTTACTGGAACCCCTTGACTTAGAGACCTAAAAATTTTTTTGGTATGTCAGGTTAAAAGACACCCTTATATATATATATATATATATATATATATATATATATATATATATATATATATATATATATATATATATATATATATATATATATATATATATATATATATTTATATATATATATATATATATATATATATGTATATATATATATATATATATATATATATATATATATATATATATATATATATATATATATATAATAAAATTAGTTTGAATTGTTTGTGATCTACACACTGGTGAACTAAGGTTGAGGCATTTAATTGAACAATTTTTAATTGATGCAATGTTTTGTTATAATATTATGGTCTAGACCAGGGATTTGGAGTCCTAAAAGCACTCTGGCTTTAAATCTCTGTTTTTTTTCTGATCTATGATGGCCAGTAGCTCTAAAAATGTTAGGTGACTTTGATCTGAAATAAAAAATTAATTCATATGATTTAAAGACTCTTTACAACCATTATAGATAAGGACACTAACATTTTACGAACCACTTTACAACCATTGTACATAAGGACTCCATATTTTGTATTTGCGGATTATTAACTTTAAGTGTAAAAAATAGATAAAAGTTTGATTTTAACTAATAATTTTTTTTCTTTTTAGGGATGGTTCTGTGAAAAAGGAGGGCATATGCCTCAGCTACCGAATGATACTTGATGAAACTCCCAAATTGACAGTATAAAAACCAGAGCTGTGGAGTCAGAGTTGCAACATTTTTTAGCGAAGTCGCTAAAAAAATCATGACTCCGATTCCAATAGTAAAACTTCTCGGTATTGCATGGGCATGTACAAAATATTCAATTAACCTTGTATTCATATTAAACCTCAAAGAACTTTTCATAAATTTGGCAAAAAAAAAAATTAATAACTTATTGCATAATATTTTTTAAAGAATTCAAAGAAATTTTGCGTTGGAGTCGGAGTCGAAGTTGAAGTCGGAGTTGGTACTTTTTTTTTATGACTTCAAACCCCTGATAAAAACATACATAAAAAACTACCCAATTTATGTAGAAATTGTAGATAATCATGATATACCTATCAAAATCCGAAAAGTTATTGAAAATTGAGCATTATTTAGAGAAGCTAACAGTCTTCAACTCAATGCAAAGAACTTAGTGCTGCTTTATTTTCAATTATTTAATTATTTTTTTAAATTAAAGTTTTTTTTTACAAAAACACTATAAAGGCATAAAGAAAAAATAATAAAAATCTAATCATTATGTTGGTTAAATAAATAAAAAATAGAATACTTTTTAGATGAAAACTTTAGAATTGTTAACTTTAGAATTGTTCAGAAATGAGAGCCACAACTCAACACATTCTGGTTATTATCAGAATGTGTTGAGTTGTGGCTCTCATTTCTGAACAATTCTAAAGTTACCACACAGTTATCAAGAAGAGATGTATTGATGCTATTTCACCTATCCATTATCTTTTATACATGAACAATCCTCACTTTTTGGGTAAAAAAAAGTTTTGAATTTTGAAATCAAAAAAATTGAGTTTCACAGCTATATGCTAACCAGAATTTTATCTTTTTTTCAAAAGTAAAAACCATAATTTTGTGCCTGGTTTGATTTTGCTTAAATTAAAGGATTGTGATGCGTTTCCTACAAGGATGTTGAGTGATAATAAACCAGAGAATTAAAAAATTAGTTTAGAAAAAATTTCCTGAAGAATTTTTTGCAAATTTATTTCTAAGCTTCAAACATGCCCTGCTAGCTCAGGATCAATAGAAAGAATATTCTCCTCAATTAGTAATTTAATAATTTCCTTTATTGCATCTTCATTTTTTTCTCTAATGAATTTAAAAATTTTTAATTTTAAGTAAGGCCTGTCATCAACAATATCATTAAGTGGTCGTTTCAAACTTGCCATGTGCTATCTTTGGCAAATCGCCTTATGCTTGATTTTTTAGGCGGGTTTAGTTTCTTTTTTTTTTCTAAAAATGTTGAATAATTATATGATTTTAATTTTAAATGTTTTAATTTAAAATGTTTAAAATTAAAAGTTTTTAAATTGAAACGCTTTAATTTGAAAACGTTAAACAATTATACTAATTATAGGTTATTTGTTTAGTTTTGAAATAGTTTATAGTCTTTTTTTTATAACATTTATTTATAAATGTTTTGAAAATTATATAATATTATTTACATATATTACATAAATTTCAAAAAATAATATTTGAAATGTAACAACACTTTAAAGCTTTTGCTTTTAAAGTTGTTACCCTTTATGAGACTGTTGTTGCTCTAATAAATTAATAATTGGATCAATAGAAAGAATATTTTCCTCATTTGGTTTTATTTGCTCAAAAAAGTTTGTGCAAATATATAGACAGCATCTAAACTAGGTTTTGTAAAAAAATGTCAAAAATGTAGCCCTTTTTATCGAGTGTATTGTGTATTTTTATCAAGTTTTAAAAAATCTTATTGAATGAATTTTTTTAATTTGCTTGGTTTTCAAAAAAGTTATTGTGAAAACAAAATTTTATAAAAAATGTGTTTGAATTGAAACTTTTCCTTTATAGGTAGCTACTAAAATAGCTATATTACCAGAAACGTTGGTTATAATAGTTTATAAAATTACTATATATCTTTAAAAAATCCACCTATTACCATTACCTGGGTTTTATTAGGTTTTTTTAGGCTTATTTTTCTAGGTTTTATTGAGTTTTATTGGGTGGGTTTTTTAATGCCAACCCTGTCTGGTGGCGTTAGTACTGGCATAGAATCTGGTGGTTGAGACTCAGGTTGAGATGATGATGTTTTTAGACATTTATATTTAAATAGATTTAATACCAATTGATTTAACATTTATACAAAGAAATTAGAGATTTATTGGTCAATTAAATTTAATTAAAAGTCAGTTTTATTCAATAAAATTTTTTTTTAACTCATATCTTTTTTCCAGAAATAGAAAAGTTAATTTTGAAAAAAGATTCTTGAACTGTATACAAAGTTATACAAACATACTTTTAAAGATCGCTTAATACAAATAAAAATTCATATATAAAATATAAAACTTTTAAGCAAGTTTTATTTTCAAGAGTTTTTGCGCATTTAAAAAAAATTATTTTATTTAAAATTTGTATCATCTTATTTATAAAAAAATTATATACAACATGATTGATAAATATTTTTAAACTAAGTTTATTTAATCAATTAAGAGCCAAAATAAACATTGTTATAACAACTTTATATGTTTCACTCAAGGAATTTAAAAAAATAAATAAGAAAATGGTTTCACACTAAATAAGACTTCAAATTTTAAAATAGTTTTTAAATATAGAATCCTATCAAAACTTTTAAACAAATCTAAAAAATTGAACCTAAACTTTATTTAATCCAAAAGTTTATTTGCAAATTCAGTACTAGCTACTTTTAACAATAACAAAATTTTCAAAAATACAGTTAAATCCTGGTAAGTCGAATACCGGTTAACTCGAACTTTCATTATCTCAAACTATCTCATTTGGTCACTTAAAATCATATAATTCGTTACTATTAAAAATCTCTGGTTAAGTCAAATCTTGAGAAACTTAAACTTAGTTAAGTTCATTTTTTTGTCCCCTTAAACAATTTCTTCGAATAAATCAAATTTTTTGTATGGAAAATTAAGAAATTAAAATTAATCCATTAAAACTTTTTTAGAAGTCATTTCATATAAAAATAAATAACAGAAGCCTAATACTTTTTATATTTTTTCATTGTATTTTGATCTCGATAGAATAGTAATTAGATACGAATAGAAAAGATCGTAAAATAATGCATTAATAAAACTAAAACTGTTACAAAACAAATAAAAATAAAATAATATTAGGAAAGCAATTGTTTTAAAGTTATTATGCACTTCTTAATAAAAGATTGCTAGCTCTTAGACGCAATTTTATTGCTAAATAGAAAAGAAGTCATTGTGTTGCTAAACTTTTTTCAATGTTATTTTTGAGTATACAGAGTGAATGCAATACATAATTTCTTTTACTGAAACATACTTTATGTTTTTGCTAGTATAATGCTGTATATTAAATGTTTATACTTAAGCATTGAATAAAGAAAAATTAGCATTATTTTTTTAAAAAAACTCAAACTAATACATGAGGTATCATGTATTAACTAAAGTGAAGTACTGTCAGTCAAAATTTGACTAAACAGTACTTCACTTTAGTTGAACATTCATTAAGTCAAACAATTTTCCTTGGGCCTTAGAGGTTTGAATTATCAAGAATTAACTGTATGTTTAAAAGTTAGTTTTGGATTTAACACCTGTTATTAAATTAAACCAAAATTTACCCTATCACAGTATTTGATACATTTGTTTTCAAGTTTATAGATGATATATGTAACAAATCTGATTATAAAAAAACCTACATTCCATTCCTCATAATTTAGTGAAGTAAACCTTGTTGAATTTATTCCATCACCAGAAAATATTTTATTTCTTTTATTATTTCTCAAAGACAAATCTTCAAAATCTTGGGATGATGATGACATTGCGTAAGCAACTCAGACTATCCATAAATCATTAATGATACTAAACACACAAGAATGTTATAAATGTTAATACAACTTTTGCCATCCTTAATACATACATATTAAATTTTACATTACATTCATTCATGTATACCATTTTAGATACTATATAATTTATGAACCATAATAATTTAAAAATAATAACAGTTTTAAGAAGCATTAATGGCAATAATAAGAGTCACAACTGACATTAATTTGATGTAACTTTAGTAATTTACTTTGACAAAATAATAAATGTATTTCTTATAAAATACTAAAGTCATTATATTTTTTAAGGTTTACTATCAACATTTTAATTTAATTTTCTAAATTTTGATGTTATCAGAAATTAAATTATCAAGGAATAAAAACAAGTCATCTTCAGGCATGAAGAAATCGTGTTTGAAGATGAAGAAATCATGTATGAAGATGAATTGATGTTTAATTTATTGAAATCAATAATTTTTATTTTATTGAAAATCATTGAAATACTTTAAGTTTAAATACTGAAAAATCATCAAACCATCAATAAAAATGAATATAATGGATGATATTAAATTTTAAGAAGAAATGTTATCAATAAATTTCAAAAAAGCCAAATTTATGTTTAGTGATAAACATAAATTCGTAATCAATTGTATCATAGAAATTAAAAACATAATTCAAAGTGACACTAATTATATGAATAAGGAAATTTTAATACTAAATATTCCAATTTTTTAAGAATTTAGCCCCTTATCTATGCAAGACTTAAATGATATAGCAAAACAATTACAAAAAAAAAAAAGGATGCATATTCGTTATTTGAAAGTATTTCATTAGAAATAATTAACTTATCATTAATAACTGTAAAAATTCATTCCAAATCAAAAAAATCCACTATTATTTTAATTCCAAAATTAATGTCATCAAAATTACCACAATACTTTAGACCAATCAATTGTTTCCTACTTAGGAAAAAATCTAAGAAATTGCTGTTTATAAACAATTATCAAGTTATGTAGAGAATAGTATTTTTAAAAAAATCAATTTTGCTTTAGATAGATGAACTAAATCAGCAACCAAGCTCTGTTATCTAATTCGTTAATTATCAATATCAATTAGTACCATCAATCAGCGCTTAAAATAGTTTTTCAAAGCCGATCAAATCTAATTTTTTCACAAAAACAGGTAATTTTCCCTTGAATTTTTTGAAATTTCCCTAAATATAGCCGATCATTGATTGGTTGATATATGAGCGCTGATCAATACACATTTTTGTGTATTAATAGTAATAACTTCAAAGAAGCTATTAATTAATTAAATCAAGCCTTAAAAGCACTTTGTAAATGGCTAATAAATAACATTAACCAATAAAATTTAAAGAATCGTGCTTTATTCATAATACAAAATCAACTGGAAATGATTTATATGATAAATACTACATTTCCAATTGATGTTACATTATGATTAAAACATAATGCTTTAATAAATTTTTTATACTGATCCAATCAACAATGCTATTTTGTGAGATAACCAGTCATATTTCAATATAATTCTTGTGTCCTTGCTTTTATTGCTTTTAGATATACTTCACAATTCTTTAATTAGAATGACTTAAGTTATTTAATTTAAGTCATTCTATGTCATTCTACATCTACATAATTGTGAAGAACATACAAAAGATTCTGTGAAAGTAACTTTTCAGGTACAAGTTACTTTCACAGAACTTATCAATAAAATATAACAGGACAGAAATCATTATTGGTTTAATGTTAATGTTAAATCATTAATGGTTTAAAACTATATTACAAAATAACCCAGAATCACGGCTAATAAAATAGTTCTGATCTGACATAATAAACAACAATGTATTTACCAGAAATATAGATATAATACATAGGTTTTGTTTGTGTAAATCAAAATTGTAAAACAATCTGTATATTGGATTGTTATATAATTTAGCTATTACAAAAGGCACCCATAAACAAACAAGTAGAATAAAAAGAGAAAAAGAAAAATATATATATTTAAATTTTGTTTAAATGAAAAACAACATTATCAATAGTACTTAAAGTTTCGTGCCATACATGGAAATCACACACACTTACACACACACAGACACACACACACACACACACACACACAAACACACACACAGATATATATATATATATATATATATATATATATATATATATATATATATATATATATATATATATATATATATATATATATATATATATATATATATATATATATATATATATATACATTTATTTATTTATTTATATATTTATATATATATATATATATATATATATATATATATACATATATATATATATATATATATATATATACATATATATATATATATATATATATATATATATATATATATATATATATATATATATATATATATATATATATATATATATATATATATATATATATATTTCAATTATTCAACATATAGACTATATTATAGTATATCATATACTTTAATATAGTCTATATGTTAAATAATCGCTATATGTTAAATTGACACAAGACTATATATGATATAGTTTTTTTATTACATCTTATTTGAGATTATGTGTCAACCATTACATCAGAAATTAATATAACGGTTGACACATGTTAAATTCTCATCTAATTTTACTCCTAAACAATTTACAAATTGCTCACATTAAAGCATTTTTTTAGGATCAATTTTTATGTCTATTTTTTTGTGCTTGCTTCTAAATATTATTAGCACAAATGTTTAAATTTCAATTCGACGTCAATTCAACAAAATTTAAATTTTTTATAGACAAACTGTGTAAAAATATGATTGATTTTTGAACGATTTAAAATTCGGATTCTAAATCATGTTATATCCCATATTTATTGTTGTTATTTTGGATATGTATAATCGGCAGAACAGAGCAGAATGACAGAGCAGACCATTTGTATGGTACAAACGGGAGAGCGGATTATACAGTCTGATCTGCAAATTAATTAAATAGCATGTGTTCTGCTTATTTCGCAGAACACATGCTATTATTAAATGCTATAATTACTGTATTGTGTTGTGCCGATGATGCTATGAAAAACACTTAACTTAGTAGAAATATAAAAAACACTGAAGTAGAAATATTTTACTTAATTCTTTTACTAAACTTACGGTTTAGTTAGTAAAAAAAAATAAGTAAATTACTTCTACTTATTTCTATTACTAACTAAACTGTGTACAGAAAATAAAATTCAGTTTTATTTATTTTTTTTTTTGCAAAGGGAAATATTTTATTATTATTACTATTATATAAGCGTAGTTAATAATTTCATCAAGAAAAAAAATTTAAAAATCAAATTGTTAATAAATCTTTGGTTTAGTACAGGACTAATTGCCAAAACAAACAAAAACAATTACATATATTTATTCATGATAAGCTTTTTTTTTAGCTTTTCCTCTTATTATTAGTAACAAAAGAACCTCATTGCAGGGTAAGTCATTTCCTTTTACGCATTCTATCATCAAATTAAAAGAATTTATAACATTATTGATGTTTTTTTTGAAGTCATCCAACGTTTTTTCATTTTCTTAACAGGAGTAGTTTCACTTTCTACTTCATGATTTTCTTCAAGGTTAAATGGATGATTTGCTTTGCTTGTTCCACTTCCCCACTCCATACTTTTAGTATCTGCTAAATTACAATAATTAAATATCTTGACAAGGGAATATTAACTTCTTCTGAAAAGTGATCGGAAAGAATGTTGTATCGACTTTCAACACTTGACGAAAAAAGATGTTTAAAATGAATTTCGTATAACTGACACGGGAATTTCATATCATGTCTGCACCAGTAAATAAATAACATCTTTCAAATTTATATTTTTCAGTGCTGAAACTGTTCCATCTTCTGCATCTAAGGCTGTAAGACATCCAAGTAGATGTTTGCGATAGCGTTGTTTTAGTGATTTTATCACATTTTAATCTAGTGGTTGCAATAATGGTGTGTTATTATTATGTGTTATTAGGGAGGAAAAATATAACCTTAAAATTCGGGTTATCAGTAAAATTATTCTCAGACCCTTAGCAAGTTGCACTATCTACTAAGAGAAGGGCTTTTACGAGAAGGTTTTATAGTTTCCAAGTGTCGAGGGACTGAAGGTATAAATATCATTATCCCAGTCGTTATAAGAAGGTATGAATATCATTATAGATCATTTGTAATATACTAGCAAATTCATATTTTTGAAGCAACAAAGAGAGTTTGATTTCCCTCTCACCATCAAATCTAATTTATGTATACCTGTAGCGTTTATGCATAATTTTTTATAATTTGAGGTTATGTTTTTATGAACAGCTGGTTTTATTTCTATATATTATAGATTGTTTCATAGACATAATAAATTGTATTCTCTAAACAAATTGTTTTTAACCCATAGTTTTAATACAAATACGAATCACCATTAAATTATCTTTCTAACAATATATAAAAAATACATTAAAAAAAAAATCTATAACAATTATTACCCTTTTTTAATTAGGCCCAAAAGAGCAGCTTCCGGCGCTCCAAATGACGGGGCTTTTTTTTGATGATTTATCGTATATTTATGTTGACTTGTACAAAGTTTCAACTTTATATAAGTCAACATAATATAGTATTTTATTCCTGGTTGTATCCAAATTCTACCGGACTACTTTGCAACAACACGATGTTATTGTTCGAAAAAAATTTTATAAAATGATCTCTACATCTTTCAATAAAGGTGTAAAGAGTAAATAACGTCATTCATTAAAAACTCAATAATTTACTCTAGATGGGTTAGCCCACTTAGCTTTCACACTATCCAGGTAATGTAATAGTTTACTAGCCGTTTTAAAAACTACAATCATGTATAGACTATGCATTAAACCTCATTCTGTGTATACAGATTTTATGTAGTTCAGTGCATGTGTATGCATATTTAACTATAGTAAGTTGATGTATTTACAAATCAAATGTATTCTGAAATAGATTTTACATTTCACGGAATGTTTACATATTAGTAATAATTTTAATAGTATACATACGAATAAT